TATATATATATATATATATATATATATATATATATATATATATATATATATATATATATATATATATACACACACACGTTAACTGGAAAAAGATTTTAAACAAGATGTATACAAAATTATCTTCTATTACAAAAGAGCAGGTAAGTATGCCATTATAATTTTAGGATATAAAAAGTAGATAACAAATCATTTCATATTTTAAAAACATAATTATATTATAAAAAATTTATCATAGAATTGAATATATGTCAACATATTACTGTGATAGAAATATGTCAATATTCGTCTATATTTGTTAGGAACCGGAAATTTTGAATTTTTTTTTTTTATAATTAAACTCACTTTTTTAGTCCGATATATTTTATAACAAACCAATTGAAACTTGGAAATAGAAAAATAAATGAAAATGATGCAACCTCGAATCATCAAACGAGCAAATCGTGAGGGATTACATCTTATAATTTTTTTTTAAAATTTTCTTAAAACAAATCTATTTTTTTTATTAACCTGGATATCCACCCGCTATGTGAGCCGATTAATCCCAAGACGACCACCTGCTTTGCAGATAGCCCGGAGTCACCGCATTTGAACCTCCGTGGCCACAAGAAGATTTTTATTCCTCCTTGGATTTGAACCTGGGACCTCCTCGTACTTTTGACCTTTATTGTCAAACTCAAACCAATCAGGCACCACCCTTATGGTTCAAATCTTCTGTTTTATTGTCAATGAGATTGGATCGGTCATCGTTGAAGATAGTCTTAAACACATAACTTAAGATTGATACTCGAGATATATAAATATCAAGAAAGAATTATTATCAAAACACATATTATCAAATATTATTTGAATCCATTGTTATCAATTCTATATGACAACCGTTGATGAATTAGAGAAAGAAATAAACACGTAACATATACCGTGTAGAATCGAATTGAACGAAACAAAAAGTAGAGATAAAAGAGACTTACTATATAAGGAAATATGATCTGCAAAAAGTAGCAGCAGAACCGATTCTTTCCAATTTCAGAAAGAAGAGGGTTGAAATCATGTATGCAAATGACCAAAGCAAAAAGAGGTGAAAGTAGACGAAGGTGTTGGGGGGGAACTCAAAAGTATTTATTCTTAAAATGAGCTGTTTGGTTATTGGGCCTTTATCAATGGCCATCTTCGAGGGTTATTTTGGGTATTTCACTTTCTTATATTGTAATTCTTGTAATAAAGAAATTAAATTATTATTTTTAAGAAAATAACTACAAAAAGATATTGGTCTTGATTGACGTAATTTTTCTACCGCGTGTACATTCTTTTCTCTGCATCATTTACTAAAACAGTGATCTCTTTGTCTTTGATTTCTTGTCACAAAGGGGGGGAATGCAAGGGGGACAGCACTAATAAATCTGCCACCGATTTAATTCCGCTTTTTCTATAGTTTTTCCAAAGAATGAGTCCTTTTTTTTTTTATTAAACTGGATATCCAACCCGGTTTGCGAACCGACTAATTTTAGAGCAACCACCTGCTTTGCAGGTAGCCCGAAGTCACCGCATTTGAATCTTCGTGGCCACAAGGGGATTTTTGTTCCTCCTTGGATTTGAACCTGAGACCTCCTAGCACTTTTGACATTTGGAGTCAAGCTCAAACCAATCAGACACCATCCTTGTGGTTAGAATGAGTCTTTTTTTTCTTATTATTTTGCAGGATTTGTATATAATATAAAGAAATTATAATTATCAATTTTATTAAACAAAATTTCATTAATTTATTTGGTTTATACATGAATGGAATTAAATTTCCTAGATTCTATCTCTTACGAATTTTCATCATTTCATCATATATATGATAATATCAAAATCTGTTTTTCCGTTAAGAAGTTAAAACTCAAAAGTATACAAAAAGACCCGAATCTATTATAGCTATTTTGGCAAACTAGTTGATTAGCTAGCTGATTACTAATAAGTTAGTTGGTAGCTAATAGACTAACTGATAAATAAATCATGTTTGATAAAAACTAACTGATAAAAATATAAAATGAATAAAAGCGATCTCTTGAAAAATTAGTCAATTATAATATTTTTTATGATATATAATTAAAAAAAATATTTAATAATATAATATATTAATACAAACAGATAGTAAGAAAGATTAAAATAATATAATATATTAATTGAAAGAATTTTAAATTGATTATATATCTATACTATATTATAAAGTATTTGATAAAAACTCTTAAAACTATTTTTTATGTATGAAGTATTGTTTATTGATGCATTTTACTTAAAATTCAAGATTACAAGTAAATTGTGCATCAATATAACTTATTAAAGCTTTATATTTGAATTCGTGTAAGTAACTGCAAATAAACATAATCAAACAAATGACAAAATTCTCATTTTAAAATATAAAAAATCTAAAATATAATTAGGATAATTATTGAATTCTAACAGAATACTTAATTATTAGCTTTATAAAAAAATATTATTAAACCTAAAATAAGTTACTTTGTTACATTAAATTAAATTATAATAAAAATTTTGAATTAAAAAAATACACAAACAAAAACTTTTAAATAGTTAATTTGATACTAATATTGATGTACTTTTATGCAAAATTTTTATGATATTTTCAAATTTATATTTTATTCAAAAATAAAAACATTATCGTTTTCTCAAAACCACATAAAATATTATTATATCGACATGAATAAAAAAAATAAAACAGAACATTAAAATAGAAATATGTATTGATATATTGCACGAGTATCCTTCTAATATATATATATATATATATATATATATATATATATAAAAGTATTGTAATAACCAGGTTTTATTTATGAAAAAGTTTGTTGGTTTTATTAAGTGGTAAAAGTTGAACAGTATAATATTGATAAAAGGATTAAAAGTTTAACAAATCCACCGCCTCATATATATATATAAATACATATATGTTCCTTCAATTATGTGTTTGTGGGGTTTTTTTGTTGGGATAAGATATTTGTGGTTATTTGTGGTTATTTGGGCTTGAATAAAGCTGAAACAGAAGAAGATAAAAATAAATTATTATGTGATTTTTATCTGATAATTGTTGTTGTTTTAAAGTCTTTATCTTTTTGTGAATTTAAAGTGGTCCTATTTTAAAAATATTACTTGATTTGCTTTTGGTGAAAAAATCGTATGATTTTTTGTTTTCATACATGGGATGTTCTAAATTGGTTATATGTTAGTTTTAGCATGTGTTTGGGTTTGATATGTTATTATTCAACTAGTTGGAATAAGGGTGACATAATCAGTAGAGCTGTATCTTGAGATAAGTGTGATATAATCAGAAGAGGTGTATTTTGGAATAAAGGTGGCATAATCAGGAAATGTGTATTGTGGGATAAGAATGACATAATCAGGAAAGACGTATACTGAAATAAAGGAGGCAAAATCATCTATATGTTAATGTGATAACCGAGTTTATCAATTATAAAGTTCGAGGTTGTTTTTTATTAAAGACAGAAAGTTGAGGGGGTTGTTTTTATTATGTGCTTAAAAAAATTTAGATTAACCAATAGCTCAAATTTTTTTAAAAGGCATATTATTATGAGATATTTTGTTTATCTCATGGGGATGGTAAAAAAAGAAATAAAAAAAACAAAAGGAATTTACTGTCTGTGTGTATGTGTGTTTTGAGCCCGAGAAAAGAGAAACCGAAAGGGAAGGAAAGAAGAAGTTGATTATGTGATTCTTAATCTGAATAATTGTTGTTGTTTATCTGCATCTCTCTGTGAATCAAGGTGAGTTTTAATTTAAAAAATTTCATCTTACAGTGTTAAAAACATAACCGTATGGTTCTTTACGTGGGGAGTTTTGAAACTGTTATTATGCTACTGTTAGCATAATTTTATATTTTGATATGTTAATATCAAATTGTTGGAATAAATGTGGCATGATCAGAATATGTGTATTTTGGATAAGAGTGACATAATCAGGAGAGACGTATTATGGGACAAGGGTGACATAATCAACTGAATGTGAAAACTGGGATTTTTGGATCATAGAAAATTGTTATCGTATATTTATAATGCGATGACTTTGAGTTATCGCATATTCATGATGCAATGACATTGGTTATCGCATCCTATTGATGCGATAAGTTGATTTTATCGCATCATTGTGATGCGAGAAGGGTGTTTTGTTGCATCATTGTGATGTGACAAGTTGAATTTTTGCATCATATTGATGCAATAAGATGTATTTATCGCATGTATTGAATGTGATGATATGGGTTCTCGCACATGTGTGATGCGAATAAATGGGGTTGTCTCACCCTTGTGATGCGAGAAAACTATGGTTTTATCTATATGATGCAATAAGTTTATGTATAATATGATAAATGGGTTACTTGATTGTTTGATGCGATAAGTTTATGTATAATACGATAAATGGGTAACTTTATTGTTTGATGCGATAAGTGGGTGTTGTCTCATCATGTGATACGACAAAAGAGGTTTGTTTGATAAAACGTTGTTTATGTGTTATTTATACAAATATGAGTTTTATAAAAGTGTTTTGGTGATTTTTCACCATGTAATAGCAATCAAGGGGATTTTTCACTAGACCTCATGGTCTAACTCTCATTTGTATTTCAAAATGTGTATTATATGTCAGACACAATCAAAAGATAAAAGGGAAAGGGAAATTTTGAAGAAATTTATTATTGCTTGCATGTGGATTTTGGGATAATGTGATATTATTTGTACCTGAATACTTGTTATATTTTCAAGTCTTGTACTGAGATTATGTGAAAATTTGGTCGCTACATTTGTAATGTAGTTCTTCTATATATTGGGACCAAATGTGTAAATTGTATTTCATGATATATGAAATATGTGATTATATAAATGTATTTTTGGGTGTTACAAGTTTGGTATCAGAGTCTGAGTTTAAGAGATTTAGGTATTCTGCATGATGCCTAAACTAAAACTGTATTATTTGCATGTTAAGGGTCCTTTACATTTATAGAACCTTTTGGAATGAATATGATGGGTTAATAGAATGATATGTAAGGTAAACTCAAATTATAACTGACCAATGTAATCACGGGTTTACAGACACATATTTGTGCTTGGATACTTTATTACTTTGGGGAATGTGATTATGTGAATATTAAATTTTGCAAATTGACAAATGGCAAGTCAATCTACAAGGTCTGAAAGGATCGCTCTCATAAGCTCAGATGAAAGAGAAAGTTCACCCGAAAACGTTCCTGAAAATCTACCAGTTGGTCGGTGTAGAGGAAGAGGCTGAGGCAGGGGCAGAGGAAGGGATGTGGAAGAGGAAGAAGTAATCATCCTGAAGTTCATCCAGATCAAGATGAATCTATTCAAGGAAACAATAATGAGAAATCAATTCAACATTCTGAGTACGTTACTCGGGATATGCTAGCTGAAGAAATGAGCAAATTAAGAAATATTTTGACTTCTGTTCTTGGAGTACCTGCGAGAGAGTAGAGATTAACCCGCAAGTTCAATCTGCAAATACCAAAGGGGGTGATATCAAGATGTTTTTGATGTGTAAACCCCTAAGGTCTAGTGATGTTTTTGATGCAATAAGTTTGATACTTCATGGGTTTGATGCGATGAAAAGAGGTTGTCCCATCTATGTGATGCTACAAAAGAGGTTTGTTAAAAAAAAATGTTATTTCCATATCATTTCAATATTGGTTTTTCAAAAATATTTTGGTGATTTTCATCCTGTAATTGCAAATAAAAGAATTATTCACTAGACCTTCTGGTCTAATCTTCATTTTGTGTTTAAAAATGTGCATTACAAGATGGGTACAGGTAAAAAATAAGGGAAATGAAATATGTGAAGATGGATTATTATTGCTTTATATCTGTGGAAAATTTTGGAAGATAAAGATGTGCATGTACTTGGGAATGTGTTTTTGTACTTAGTGTGAATGAAAAAGTTTGTAGCTACTTTTAAATGTAGCAATTTATACATTTGGGACCAATATGTAATTATAGTATTTCATGTTATATGAAATATATGGATTATATGCAATATGGAATGGGGTGTTACACACGTGACACATATACATACATATATATACACATATATATAG